CCAAACCCTATAGTTATATATTAATGCCAAACAATTGCAGAATTGTATTGGGCTATACTACTACTACTAATTAAATGCCAAGTAATTTGGCACTAGAGAAAGGTGTTAGGCAACATCTGTTGCTAACTTTAATAATTATAATTAAATTAATATTTTAATAATTAATTTAGAAGGTTCTGAAAAAAAAAATTGACCCAAAGCAGGACTCAAATCCACAACTCCTGTTTACCGAGCAGTCACATTGCCAGTTATGTTACCCAGACCTTTGATCCTCACTTCCAAACTTATTAATTTAGATATAACCATACTTGGTTACTTATGGTGCTAACTGGAGACAACTCAGTGCCTATGGCCTATAACTCCCACTATGGCACTCAGCCAGCTATTCCATGTTGAGATAGAAGTGATAGCTGGATGATTGCAGTGGAAATTACAGGACATAGGCACTGAGTCATCTCTAGCCTACACTGTAAGTAACAGAGTACAGTACTTTTTATATTCTATAGGATCTTCTGATATCCAAAATATATAAACTAATGTTTTATTTTTTATTTTTTTTTTTGCTTCCTTAGTTATCTTGACATTTAAAAAATGGACTTTATATGTACATAATTGTTCCTTACTAAGTTTGAGACCCAAGATGGATAGGTGTCAAGGTCTGATAAGTGTTTTATTATAACAATGTTTACTTGTAACAAGGATATCATCTATTTATCTTCTACACAATATGATATTGTCTTTTAAGGATCACTGGAAACTGTCTTCTGTTATTTTTACTATAATCTCAACAATAGTATAGAGGATACTACATAGAAAATTCTATCAAAATCAAATACCTGGTGTAGGATAATACAGAGCACCTCAAAAAGATCTTTTAAGGAAATATTCCTATTGTATTCTTACTAATAGGTATTATTTAAATTACTAACTACAGTGGGTGATCGGTTAATGAACAAATCGGATAACAAACACTTTTGCGAAAGATTTTTATGTTCGGACAACGAACATAGGATCAGATAATGAACACCCCACAGAACAAACACAAAAAGAAGCGACGTAAAATAATGAATACCGATTAGTCTTCCCTTGTCTTTGGGCAACAATTCAAAACTTTTTGGTGTGTGAGAGATGTCGACATCGACGCTCAAGCCGGTATATACTGATCAGATAGTATTCCTCCAAACTTTGAAACTCTCCCTTGTAATTCCAGCTTTTTATTTTTCTGACAAAACAATTCTATTATATATTCACGAGACTGTCGGGTAGGCACTCGTTATAAAAAATATAATATTTTTTATAATGCATTAATGAAAGTCTAAAAATCAATTGTTAAATTATTAAACTTGGTAGAGAGTTTTAATACACTAAAAATGTTCATCATCATTACTGAAGTCTTCTCTACCCGTTGGCTGGTTGTCCTCTCGAGTTCTGGTCCTCTTCTGTTGTTGCTGTTATAAGTGATTCTGATTCACTGTAACCATCATTTATAGGTAAGTTGCTGAAGCTTTATTTCACTGTCAGATTTTTAGTTCTGGTTATAAAGGTCATCAAGCTTCTATACAATTCCTTTTTGTTTATTAAATCCTTTTCTTCAGGAGGCCATTTGTTGCTGTAGGTAAGGCAGTCTCTAAAGAGGGTCTCGCAACTGTCACTGAACCTGGAGAATTCGAATAAAAAGTGATGAACATTATCTTTACTATTATTGATTTCACAGATACTATTGTCCTTCTTTTTGAATCTATACAAGTAGGATCTGAAGTTTCCATGACCCTTGAAGTTTGAGTTAATTCAAATGAGGGGTTGAAGAACTTTGTTTCTTTTCCTTGTTATTATATTGGGTATAAAAGAGAAAGTTTGGTATCTGTCATCACCGACTCGTTCCATTCATTTTGCCACACATCCATGAGAATTTGATTTGTTTGATTTCCTTTCTTATTTCCTGTAGGGGGATTCTTTTGTAAGTAATTGGAGTATTTGCTGAAGCTGTTGTCTTCACTAGATGATCTGCTGTCTCATTACCCAGGTGATCCCTATGCCCTGGAATCCATTGGAATACTATTTTTATAGTTTTGCTAAGGTCTTGTGCAATTTTGATAGTTTCTGTGGCAAGTAATGAATTGTTTTTCTTGTTTTGCAATACGAAAAGAACCACTTTGTAGTCCGTGTTTATTGCTATAGAGCCTTTAAGGTAATTAAGGTTTCCTTGAATATAATTTAGAGCCCTGTAGATGGCTCAGAGCTCTGCTTGGATAATATTACAGTAAGGAGCCATTCTAAAGCTGGCTTTGTATATTGTTTTTCCTTCTTGTGTTTCTACTAATAACTCCTGTTCCTGTTGGCCTGTTGGAGGTCTGTTGGTTGGCCTGTGTATGCATTCCAGTTTTTGCTTCTGTTTCCATCGTTTACAAATTCTAAACTGACATAGTAACTGTTTTCGTCTGATGGGTGGATATAATATTTATTATTTCTAGTGTAGCTGCTGTCCCTGTCAATTCCGTGTTCTCTAATGTTTTTGATCTATGCAATTGTCCTTCATTTCCACTTTTTCAATGTTCATGTTATGTGAAAAAATTGTGGAAGATTTCCATGCAGACATATGTCTGTCTTTATATGTAAATATAAGAAATCCATTCTCCATAGAAAGTTATGATTTACCATTAAATATTTTAAATTTGAAAACATTTGTAATTAATATATAAATTAGTTTTTAAAATCAAAATATAAAAAATGTAAATGGAATGTTTAGTTATTAAAAAATCATTCAATTTTTCTTTTATGGAGTGGAATGGGGTAGAGTGAAAGTTGGAAAGTGGTAGTATTAATCATTTTCAAATGTCATTGGGTACATTCCACTATGCACCAAACATCACATTGGTGAATTGCAATGTACTAAAATATGTTCTGATATTCACTGATGAACTTATCAGTACAGCAACCAATGCACTGTCCACTCACTAGGAAGTGGATATGGTCAGACCTTTCAAAGCAATATGGCTGCCTTCACAATTATATTTAGCAACTTTAAAAAATAACAATAAAAACTGAATAAGACTGTTACTATGTGATAGTATTAATCTCATACATTGTCATTAAATATCATTTCATAATGATTAAAAACATTTTTACTATCCAAAAATTCCAGTAAAAGCTTATGTTGTGGCTGAGACTGATGCATACCAGACCATACACATTTAATCAGTTGTTGAAATCTGACAACCCTAGTTGTAACACAAAAACGTCATTGCATCAACATATCATCCACAACTCAAGTAATTAGTAAAGCACAGTTTTATTTCATTGGCTGCATTCAGCAGAGTCAACAGTTGTAACTGAGCAAAGGTGTGTCAATTAGTAGCTGTTATGTAGTTACATCTGTTGAATGATGAGTGACGTGCATTTGAACAAAAAGCAGCCATCATTGGTCAGTTTCAGGAAGTGATAAATAGCATAAATGAAAGACACTACTAAATATGACATCAAAATACCAAACACGTTCCAAAACAATGCTACTGTAGAGGGCGTTCAGCAGAAAAATACTCAACAGCTTTGAAACTGTTGAGTCTGCTGAACACAGCAATTTAAGATATATAGAGATAAGGTAGCACAACTCACTCTAGCGAGAAAAATGCCACTGCACATGACGTCACCATTGAGAAACTTGATTCACTACCGCTCTGTAACACGTGCTGTTTATGTCAGAAATGCAATCTTAGAGAAATGAATGCACCACAAAACTCACACAATGGTTAATAAATACATACAATTGTTAATATGGTGCTATTCAAAATCAAATTAATTAATTTAATTATCCCTGTAAACTTATTCTACATAACATGCCACAATTCACTCGTATGATAAAACTAATTAGAGAAAAAGTATTCTACAAGCAATTAAATCATTACTTTATCTTATGGCTGCTCCTCAGGCAAATAAACATGAAACAATAAGAAATAAATGTTTTTCCACGATATTTTCCTTTTTAAAGAAGAAAATTCTGAACTTTCATGTAAAGATTTTTAGNTTGGGACACGATTTAAAACATCAAGGCTTATGTTACATCAGCTCTAAAGGACATTCCAGAGAAGGCCTTCCAGGCCTGGAAACACCGCCTTCACAACTGTATCGATGCAGGAGGGTGCTATTTCGAAGATTTTTGATTAATTGTAAAAATATGTTCAATAAATGATTTTTTATGAATTTGGTCGCATTACTTATGGAACGCACCTTGTATGCTCTCCACCTCAAATTAGTAGTGTCTTGCCTCTGTACATTTATCATACCTTTCCTGTTAGCAATAGACTCATGCCAGTCATCTAACTCCTTTCAGGAAAATTTTTGAATTGAAATAACCTGATTTCCAGTTTGCATCAGAAGTTTGTATATAGATAATCAAGCCTCCTGCCCCAAAACTTCCTATATCTGATCTCAGCTTTCATCTATCTAACTTCATTCTTGAGATTACGGAAGAGCAGGCAGACAGATGACAGTGGAAATTTATAGGTCTACAATTTTTTCAAATTGTACCCAACAACAAAGTAAAATTTGTTAAAAACTAGTAAACTTTAACAAGTAATATAAAATACATGCATTAAATCTTACAACAGATTTAGTATGACAAATAATAATCTTTTAGCTGTGAGCTACAATTCTGGACCAACTGAGAGCTGAGCTTACCATCAAAATCCTGAGCTGTAGCTCAGCTCAGCTCATTTGGTATAACTCTACTTAAGAGTACTGAATGGAATCTAAAAATGTATACTTTTAGTGAAACAACACACAGAAGTTTCATTTAAAACAAATATATATTTTTTTTCATTTGGCATAAAGAAGGTACAGAAAATAAAACATGCATTCATCTATATAATTATAGATGAATGTATGTTTTATTTTCTGTACCTTTTTCTTATTTATTTTGAGGTCAATTCAATGATTGTAGCAACCTACTATAGCTAGACTAAAAATTGATAAAAAGTACATACACATTTTGAACCAATAATTACTTTCCTGTACTACTGCCTAAAACAGAAAGCCTGCCTAATTTGGAAAGTTCCCATGTAATTTTAGCTTTCACAAGTTTTACTGTATATAAAAAAATAAACTGACAATTAAAATGCTAATTATGATAATTGAAAACTATGTTACAATAATGAAAAAAGAAAAATATACAAACATGTTTCATTTTTGTAATAATTTAGAGATATAAATACATCTTATTTTAAAATTATTCACCTTTAGAACCACCTGTCAATCTAAATGCCATCATCGATCTTATTACTCCAAATATTTCAACTGTAAGTAATGTATGTACTTTTCCTGTATTTGCATCTGGTCTTAAAAGTTCCAGAATTTTTCCTCTAGAAACAGCAATTTCTTGTTGTTTTGTACCAGAAAAATTACCATGAACAGCATGTGTTATGCCAGTAGCTCTCTGAAGCGTTAAATTATAGAGAAACATTTCTGTATTCCTAAATTCCAATTACGTCCAATACTGTAAAAAGAAATAAAAACAACTCATTAGAATATTAAATTTGATTTTATAATTAAATTAAATATTCTAATTAAGTAAAATTATATACGGAATATTAAAAAGTATAATTATTATATTTGAATATATATAAAAAGAGTTGTAATAATTTTTGATTAGCTAGATTCTACAAATTATCAAAATCTACTAGGCTATTATTGAGATAAGTACAGGTATCCCTTGTACAACACGATTTGAAAATTGAGAATATCCCTGTACAACACTACTTCTGGTTTCACTCTAACACAGTTTTGGAAATTCTCCATACAAAATTTCATAATTTTTAAATTTAAACTTCATTATTCAATATTTTTTTTATTCAAGTGAGCATGAGTGTCATCTCAAATTTGCCTGTGTATTTTACAATATTGAAATTTTCAAATTATTTTGTGCTTTTCGTCAGGTTTACCTTAATGAGAACTGATAAGACAAGGAAAAAAAAAATTGCACTAACTTTCCTATCAACCAGGTGTCATTGTTGTTGCTTTCAGACTTTAGTCCTTAAGATTGTAACTGTGTTTTTTTTTTTATAGATTAATCTTTGTAAAGTTTATTTAAACATTTTTTTAGATAAATAGATTTGTTAAATGTTTTTTAACTGTAGGTATTATTATTTATAGATGATTGCTTTGTTTGTAAAATGATAAACGAAATACAGTGGTGTCTTGTTACTTGAACAATTTGATATTCAAACACAAATTCTGGAAAAAAGTTGTTCGGTACTCAATTGAACAAACATAACCCACTAGAACAAATTTTTGATTAATAACATACAGTAATATCCCGCTTAATGCAAGGGATGTGTTCCTAGACAACAAAGCACTAAGCAAAACAGCATTAAACGAGGTCATTTTAACACAGAGTAAATAGGGATAGGGGAACATGCGACCAAAAATAAACAAATTTTACTTTAATTTTAAGTTATTTTTATATTAATTTGTATAATAATATATGTTAAATAACACAAACATATGCACACAGAAATGTAAAGTTCATTTTTTGTGATGAAGGTCCTGACTTTTCTGAAATTCTTGTTTTTTCGCAATAAAGTCATGAAGTTTCATTTGTTGCTTTTTTCTTTCCTTAAGCAAATGTCAGTAGCAGAAGATCGCATCCAAAATGCCTCGTTTTGCTCTTGCACTCCTTTCAAAATCTGAATCATTCGCTACAATTTGATCAATGATTTCGATTATCTTACCAAACTTTTAATAAAGAAATCTGTAGAGAAATTTTTTTGGTTTTTCGTTTTCAGAATCTCTATTTTCCAGTTCCACATGAATTTCATGTTCTGTCAGTTATTGAAGGTCATCATTGGTAAGGCTCTCACCAGAAACCTGCTGTAACTCCTCAATATCCTGCTTGTCTATATCTCCTAGTCCTGCTATATCGATTAGGATGAGTTTGGTCAACCTAACAATACAGCGATAGGCTCTTCTCGTTGAGAATTCTTGGATGCCTTCAGCCATAACTTCTTCTACACTTTGTGCATTTATCAGTTAATTCTTGCCAAGCAAAGCCGTTATTGCCTATGGCATCCATGATGCTATGTTTTTTTTTTTTTTTTTTCAAAATTGCACCAAACAAACATAGATTTAAAGAAAGTACACCTTTTTTGCCACCTTTTGCTAATTTGCTTGTGTTCGCAAATAATCATATTATATACAAATCAATAAAATGCATCAATAATTTAAATCAGTGTAAATTTTGAGCTTTTTTAAGTCTTCGAGCAGACCACGTTATATCAAATCAGTGTTAAGTGAGACAGCATTAAGCGGGGTCTTACTGTATTTTTATTTTGTCATCCATAAAATTTTTTACAATAAAAATAAAAATATGGAAATGTTGATACTCTGATCAAGATCAACAAAAAAAGCTGAGATCACGATGATACTTTGTAAAAAGAAAACATCCAGTCAGCAAATTTAAATTTCCGCCAGTGCTGTGGCACTGCAATCTTTAGCTATGTCTTGGGCTACTCAAATATTTAAATTTTTTGATACTAAATTAACTTCTGAAGTATAATTTTTTTTATTGTTTTTATATTTTTCAATATATTTATTTTGTTTGTACAAAATAAAAAAATAATTTTTAACGATACAATAGTCTTTGTTAGGCTTAACATCAACGAAAATTCAACGCAAAGCAACACGCAACGGAGAAATATTTCAACACGGGATAAATTAATATATTTTTTCGTACACAATCGGTTATCTGAAATATCGATTTTCCGAACAACCCCAGTCCCCAATTGATTCGGATAATCGATGCTCTACTGTATAGCACTTCTAGTTGTGATTGTTAATTAAGCATTGATTGGAAATAAACTATTAATTGCTTTAATAATTTGAAATATAATAAACTAGCAAATGAGCCCGGCATTGCTCAGGCAAACGATTTGGATGATTTGGTAAATATTGTACATTTGGAAATTAAGTTATTACTGTCAAAAACAAAAAATTGCATCTAAAATAGTACTGTAGAAGCAGTTCCTCAGGTTAAGCCTTAATCCTCTCCCTCTCCCCCGCGGTGGAGAATTTCCAAAAATTCCTTCTTAGTGTGCATTCTCATTGTGTACCCTAACTGTGTATCAAATTTCACCTCTAGGTTCAGCAGTTTGCTCTGGATGATGATGAAATAGATTATTTCATTATATATATATTTCATTGATGATATCATCTTGAAACAAAAGTATAAACTATGGATACTTTCAAGAATTTTATAATTATAAGAAACAAGAAAAATTTGGATTTAATTTATAATAAAAATAATAATTATTAACAACCCTTTGGGCATGTTGAGCATTGTGACATCACTTGGCACGTGTATATGCAGGATACATAATGAAATTAATGCAATTTTCATATTTTTACAGATATATAAGCCTGACTACAATTATATCTTTGATTTTTACACTTTCTGTATTATTTAATAGTATAAAATACTTGTGGGCAGTGCTGCTGTTTATAGGGTAATTTCAATCTCTCAGAGTAATGTTTAGGGTAGTCTTATATATAGGGTAAATCTAGGGTAAAACTGCTCTGTGATCTGATGCTATTACCCATAGCACCACAAGTTTTGCCAAAAAATCTAGGGTAAAACTGCTCTGTGATCTGATGCTATTACCCATAGCACCACAAGTTTTGCCAAAAAAAGTTTGTCTAAAACCATTCTGTTTTCCCCTATAACTAGAAGATTTAAAGATAGAATGGAAGCTAAAGAAATAAAGCAGATTGGTGTTAGGTAGATGGGTGTACACTGTATATTACACCAGAGTAGGATTTCACTTTTCTCAACCTTCATGCCATTAGACTGTATTGCACACTAAAGTACGGGTACAACTTTGTAAGCTACATTTGTGTAAGACATCGCATAGACATTCTTTAAAAACTGAAACAATTTGTAGACTAATGCATGCTCCAGTATTCAAAAGAAAATATTGTTTTATTTGAACCTTCAAACCAGTGTTAAAATGCAAACATGTATGTAAATAAATAATTTTAAAAACTGATCATTTATGTATTAAAGTACGTTTGAAATCAACTGAATGGCTTACAGTAATACCCCGACTTACGCGAACTCGGAGTTACGCGATTTTCAAATCTCGTCGATTCGTCTTTTGTTTGAGTGCCAAGCAACCCTTGATTACTCACTCCCCCACACTATTGTTCAGCTTACATGTTCGGATGTGTCGCGCGGAATCCTCACATAGCTATAATTTATTTTGTGTTATTTATTTCTGTGTTTGTTATATCTACGGAGACTGGAGAGACTTTACTATGTCATCCAAACGAAGTAGAACTAATTCTTCTGCATCAAACAAGAAAAGAAAAACTTTATCTTTGGAATGTAAAGTTAACATTGGGTACATTCGTAAAGTCGAACGAGTTAAACGAGAATGACGTCATCGTTATTCCTATTTCGTTAGACTTTTTGAATGATTCGTTACTAACACGTTTAACTCATTTGACTATGAACGTACCCTTATTAAAGACTTCGATACAAAAATGAAAATTTGTGAATTGGCAAAGAAGTTTGATCTACTGGAATTGTCGGTCAGAACAATTATAAAAGGCAAAGAAAAAATTCTCAAAGCTGTGAAAAATGCTCAATCTTTAAATTCAAGCATCATTCGTAAACGTCACAGTATTATCGCTGAGATGGAAACAATGTTAAAATTATGGCGTAATAA